TATTTGCCGGGGCTCCGAGGGTGGGGGCTGGGATTTTTCTATTACGCGCTCGTTTATTATGGGAGTAACGGATTACGTGTGAATGTGTGCACTTTTCAGCGCTTGCTCCTCGGGCCGGGCTTCAATCAGCTGAGTTCCTTGGGCCTGCGGTCGGAGCAGTCCCAGCCATTCCAGGCCTGGCCTCAGGCCTCGGGCCTCAATCCCAACCCGACCAACTGATGGCCAACAGTCAATCGCTTAGCTCCTCAGCCGGAGCCCGAATCACAATCAAAGCCGGAGTCTGTCTGTTTCCCGAAAGTTGCAGGACGAGACCAAAAGAAACCGGAGACGCGGACGCTAAAGGAGAACGGAGAAAGGAGAACGCAGTGAAAAATGCGGAGAAAGCGAAACTTTTTAATGATGTAAAGTACAAAGTTTTCTGTCTTGTCGCTGGCGCAAGTAACTTGAGTAAACTTTGAGTTATACCCCCGGCCTGGGCTGCGATGCGACGACCTCAAAGCGCAGTCGACGGCGACGAGTGGGTGGGCGAGGATGACATCGATCGATGCGGCGGAGGAGCTGGTAGCTGGTGACTGGTGGCTGGTGGCAGTGGAACTGCGGCTGGTATTTTGTCGTTTGTTAAAAGTTTTCAACACTCATTTTTATTATGACATACGCGCGGAGTACAGGCCAAATTAGGGGGGATGGCGGGAAGGGATAGCCGGGACCGATGCCGGCCCGAAGTGCGGCAATGGGTGGCTAATAAAATGCCAATTTGCTGCCATTGAATGGCGGCTTTATTGGCCGCCATTACAACTCATACGCACAAGGAGGGGAGGTACGGCACATCCTGGGCCCACGCACACATGTGCGTGCGGGAGGAACGTCTCCGCCTCCGTCTCCAGAGCCGTTTTATGACGGCCACATTTACACGCATAAAATATGCATGATAAAACTTTGTTGTTGCAATAAATCAGCCGCGGCAGCGAACCCCAAAACGGTGCAACGCTTGGTCCTGCCTCGTCCTGATGTGATTACAAAGCCGTTTTGAGCGGAACAGGGTCTCCGCTCCACTTATTTATGTCCTGCGTGATCCGACTTCATTGGCCAAGCGATGCGATGCGGTCGTAACCGATTGCTGGGCCGAAATACATTTTTTTGGACCAGAGGTGGTAGGTGGGATGGGCCTCCCCCCGAGGAACTACTTAAACTGCCATTAAACTATTGAGAGTGAAGGATGCACAGGATGCTGGGGAGAAATGAAGTCGGAATGGAAACTTTTGTGGGATCCTCCTCAATCAAAAATATTATAAAGGACGCCCAGCTTTGTTGGAGGTGCAAATGCCCAGCCCCGCCTCGCCTCCCCCCGCAAACAGACAGAAAAAGTCCCCGACGAGTCTTCCCCCGCCGGCCCCCTGCTGCCAACTTTTTGGCCATTGTGTTTTGGCTGCCTTTGTTGCATGCATAAAATATTTATGCTCTGGAAAATATGCAGCAGCAAAAAGTGAAGGCAAATACAGCTGCCTGCCCCGCCGCCCTCCGCCTGCCGCCTGCTGCCACGCTACGCCCACCACCTCCATGTGCGTGCAACTTTTCACACCCAACTGAAATTACGAAAAAAAATGAAAAACTTTGCTACTTAAATGTTGCGTTCTCTCTACTCTCGTCCTCGTCCTGGCCTCGTCCTTGCGCTCCTCCCTGCGCTCTTTTTTATTGCTTTCTGCACTTTATCAACCATTTTGCCATGGCTCAGTGAGCGCTCAATTGCCGGCTGCCAGGAGACGGAGACAAAGAGGCGTGGTCCTCCTCCCACGGCTAGCGTGGGCGAGGGTGGGGCGTAAACTTTTCATTAATAACGATTTTCCATTAACTATCGATTGATTTCGAGACCGGAGCATCCAGAGCAGCAGCATCCAGCCCACGGCGGAGCAACAACAAGAGTTGCAAACGCACTTCAGACAATGCATGCAACCGACAGCTTCCACAAAGCCAAAAACAACAGCAACACCACTACCAACACCAGCCACCACAACAACGCAATCTCCAACAACACTTGAGTCTATTTAAAACGCAAACAACAATAAACCGCCAAAGAAGTACGGCAGGAGGGGCGGCAGTTGGCGCTGGGGCTGGGGCAGGCCCATAACCGAGGACGACGCCGCTCCTGCTGCCGACAGGAAAAACTCATTGAAAAGTTTTTTCTTTTTTTTACACTTGGCGCGTTTCCCCTTCCCTCACCTCGTTCCCCCGACCAGACCCCGGCCCGCACACCTAAGCGGAGCTCTGAAGGAGCAAGTTTTTAATTTTTTATATCAGCCCGGCTATAACCGGGATGCGACAAGCCCTGTTACGCTTGTTCGGGACAAGAAAAACCGATATTTAGGCCTGGAACTTATCAAGGGTTAACGAGGGAGGCAAGATGACGTGGATGAGGGCGAATTCCTAATATGCTACAAGGACACATGGACACCCCTATGTCAGGGGCTCTATATGGTTTAGATAACATACAGAATGGTTCCCAAGAAACACCTTTATAAATGTTTGGAATAATATGTTTGAAATTAAGAGCAGAGCCAGACGACGTAGAATTTCTAATACTTCTAATAATACTAATAATTCGAAGGATATCGGGTTTAAGCACGGAATAGTTCTTGAGAACTAAGAAGCAACATTAAAAATAGTTATCAAGGGTTAACATGGGAAGAGATCTGAAGCGGACGAAGCCGAATTCCTAATACCTTACAATCGGTACGGACAGACGGACATGCGTACAGTCCAATATGAGAGGCTTAAGCTCGGAATAGTTCCTAAGAATTACCTTTAAAAATGTTCCTATTTGGCCGAGCTCACTATCGACTAGTTCCTCGCTATCTGAGAAAAGTCCATTTCCCACTTCCCTGGTTGATGCTTTAGTTTCATTTACCGGCTTCGGTTGCCGTTATTGTTGCTTCGGAGGATATTTTTCCCGGCTCCTGCCCCCGCCCGGCGGTGGCTCCTGCTGCTATTATGGGCATCGCCTTTTGTGTAGGTCGTCGGCATTGCGTTTTCGGATACTTTTCTATTTTTGTGTTGCCGTGTTTTGTTTTGCTTTGGTTGCTGCCAGCATTTTTATTATATGGCCAAAGCCCGTTCGCGCTACCCAATATATATAAATTATTGCATAAAGTTTGGCGCTAAGTTGCAAAAAGTTTTCTTTTCATTGCCGCTGCTCCGGCCAGTCGACGCAACCGTGAACGACACACAATAGTCTATAAATCTTTATGGTCAACAGAGATTACATGGGCCCAGACACGCCGAAGAAAGCCTTCATGTAGTTTATTCCCCTGGCTTTGCCCGGCCCCTGCTCCGCCAGCGCGAGGTCGGCGAGGCCGGGCTTGGCAGCTGTTTAGGCGCTGGGTGCGTTGTTTTGATTTGTGAGCTCGTGTTCTCGTATTCCAGCTGGAGGGGCAGTTGTTGCGGCTTTTCCGATTGTTGCAGGACTCGGGAGTGGAGCATATGGCTGTAAAAATGCGGTGCAGACGTGGAATTTTCAGTATAAATCATGCGAAAAGCCCGGCGAAATAGGCGGCTAGGCGAATGAATACGAATTCGAGAATCGTGTAGGAATCAGCCACGGGAATACCTCCGCTCGAACCGCACTTTATCCTTTATCGGGCACACATCTTTAATTGCTCAAATTCCTCGCGCTCCCCGACTTCGGTTCGATTTCTCGAAGCCCCATAAACAACTTTTCAAATATATAAGTAAGGGAGGTCGTGTCGGGGCTCACCGCGGGGGTCATTTTACATAAAAATGCAATAAATGGCAACAGCAAAATTTATGGTCGGGCGGGATGAGAGGCCGCCCACTCCCCCACTAGCCTGCACTACCCCGCGCCCACTCGTAAATGTCAAATGTCGTGTGCTGGGCTAAGGGCGCCTCAAAGTATGCTTATAAATGGCTCTAAATAGCAGTCCTGGCTGCTCTACCTCCGGCTCTTCTTCTTCTCTTCCGTATCCTTACGTTCACCCAATTCCACATTTCGAGGAGTCAGTGGTCAGGGAAGTGTCAGGGGACGAGAAGCAGAGGAGCAGGAGCGCTCTCCCGGTGTCGTGTCATTTGTTCGTTTTCTTTATTAGTGTCATGTATTTTTATAGTTCAAAGGACATTTGAATGATTGAATGAACTGTTTGTCCTCCAGCCAGCCGCCCCACCACCCCACTGCCCGCTGCCCACAACCCTAGCCCATCGCCCATCGCCCCCTGCGGCCCCGTTTGTGGCATGCTTGACCGAAAACGAGTTGCGCGCATGATTTCATCCCTTGCAGCGAGAGGTCCCTTTTCGTGCGGTCAGCTCCCGCTCCTGCTCCTGCCTCTACCCGATGTCCTGGTCAGCGGTGGCGGCGACCGTCCCAGGCACGTTCCATCATGGCGGGCATGTTGTTGGTCTTCGACTATATCAAATAACGACTATTGACTACGCCTCTGTGGCGCTTCGCCCTGTCGTGACCCGGCTCACTCTCCGTATGCACGTGTAGGATTACTCGCCACCTCCTCCCACCCCGCCGGACCCCGTGAGGCGCTGATGATGATGTTGTTGTCGCCGGCGTCGCTAGCGCCATCATTGGCTTTGCCTGCTCCGACGCTGGCGCTGGCTCTGGCTCTGGCTCTGGCGATGACGAATGAAAATCAATATTTATTAGATTACTTTCGAAATTTTATACGAAAATAGAATTTTTATGACATTTTTTCCTCTGGTTGCGCCCCGGGCCACTCGGCCATGTGCTGGGGCGTGTTAAAGCGTTTGCAATAATCAATTTTCGGCGGGGACTCGAGTGCCAGAGGACGGCGGCTTTAAAGGGGACTGCACTCGGTTCGGGACTATGGAGTGGAGTATTTATGAATGGCTCTGCTCTCCCGCCATTAGCTATAATTGCAGTTTTCATTTCCCACCCACAGCCATAATCCTTAATTATCCTTTAGCCAATTCTGCTTCTCACTCAAAATTAAACTTTTCCGTGTTCTCCCTTGACTCTCTTTCAGGTAAGTTGCCATCATCCATTAATACCACCAGCCATCAAATTAGTAAGTACACAAAACGAGCTTCTAACACTTTTTATGTGCGTCTTTAACTCTGTTATCTGACTATCTCCCCTGCCCGGCCCTGTCCTCTGACCTCGCCAATATGTGTAGCTATGTATGTGTGTTTAGGAATATAAAGCAAATGCATTTTTGTGCCCTCAGTTGACCTCGTTTGGGGCTTGTTTTTATGGCCCGGGCGAAGCCCAGGCGATGATGCTACTCACGTGGCTCAAAACTAAAAGCTCCCCCGAGTGTCAGTGCCTCCGACCCCTCGGCCCGGCTTGTGCCAGTGCGGAACTCAGACCGCCCACCCCCGGGAGTCACTTAATTATGAAGCTGCACATGAAGTAAAACGTCATAAAGCGTCGAGTTGAGTCGGGCCGGGCCGGGCCGGGCTGGGATGAGTTGGATTGGGCCGGAACAGGTCTGGGTAGTTGTCTGCCAGGGCCTCTTACATATTCTTTTTCTGCGGGAGTGGGCTTGCCAACATTCTGCAGTTAATTTTCCGTTGCTAAATAAACTGTTTATGGCATTTATGCCAACAATTTTTGGCCGAGGCCAGAGTCGAGACTGAGGCAGACGCGGCGGGCAACAGGGGGGGAGCAAGAGGGCATCTGGAATCCCTGGATGAAGGATGAAGGATGGCGACGAGCCGTCAGAGCCGGCGTGTGTGAACGTGTGAGCGGAGCAAGTTCGGCATAACCGACACAGAGGAGCGTCCTGCTCTGTATCCTGCATCCTGTTGCCCGAATTATTCTCTTCATTATGAATTTTGCTCGGCTGTATGCCTGCCAAGGATTCTTTCGGGGAAAATTGTTGCTTGTTGCAAGAGGAATGTTGCAAAAATTAACTGGATTCGGATGTTTGGCTAAAAAGTTGGCATTTCCAAATACTACAAGCACTGGGGGACTGAGTTTTAATCAATCTAGTGTGGATTTTGGATTAAATATCCCCGAATAGGGGATGATATCACTCTCTTACCTCAAATCCCTGCTTGTATCAAGGCTGAGAGGGGGAGGACTCTGGCCCAAGGATGCTCGAGTGGGGGCGCAGCGACTGCGATGACTTTTGTGTGTTCACTGACCTCTCGCCTGTACCAGAGTGCACTCACACCGACATAATGAATATTTACATTCCGGGCCGCACACACCCGCGCAGCACTGGAAACTGGCACAAACACACACTTCCATCCGCTGACAATTTGGCAGTCACCGCAATCATAAAAATTTCCACTTCCAAGGAGGGGAGTACAGGCCCGTCAGCCAGTCGCCTCTGCGCCTCATTTAAATGCAAATTTTTGACGAGCGGTTTTAACGTTATACTCCTCCGCCTCCGCAGATGCCTCCGCAGACCGCCCCTGCGCTTGCGGTGAATGAAAACATTAAAATTAAAAAAGAAATGTAGTCTGCTTTTAGGCGGAACTGCCGGGTATGTTTGCGTTTGGGCGAGCTGTGGCCCGGCGCGGGGTGTCAGTGCTCGTGAGAATAATTCAAGGTGATAGCTTAATTGAAATATGCTTTTAGGCGCTTTGCCACTCCCCGCCCGGCCCACTTCGTCTCTCCCGGCCCAGATCCAAAGAGCCGGATCCGAAGAGAGTCGCCCGCTTTGCATACTTCACTTTGTTGTGTCTGGGTGCATATTTTATGGGGCTGCGGTCGACCGCAGGGACCCACAAAAAAGGAAGCGTCGAAAGTGGCAGGAATCTGAATCGGAATAAAAACTGAACCGAAGCTGCTTAATGTTATGCAAAGTGTTGGGGCCTGCGGCGGGCGGAAACCTATAGAAGCCGCCTCCACCGCCCACTCTTGAATGTGGCAGGTGGGGTGTGGGGTGTGGGCCGGCAGGCGGATCGTTCCGAGCCATCATCATTAATTGCTGGCCATTTCAGTTCTCATTGCGGCCCCAATTGACTTTTGGCGGATGTTCGAAAGTTGAATCGAATCGAAATTGTGAATTGTGTGAGGGGAGGCTGAGAGGGTGCGGCAGGCTGAGAGGGTGAGGGTGAGGCAATTGCTCCATAGATGCAAAGAATATGCTGCGGAAGACAATGACGATGGCTTGTAATATCGTAATCCTTTCTGGATCTGCCATAAACATTCATATGCATAAATTTGACATTTGCCTGCTCCATAAAAGTCTTCCTGGCCGCCGGGCCTCTTGGCTGGCAGTCTCCCAGGAGCCGGGGCGGCAAATTTATGCACATAATATCCACTTGACTCCTGGGCCGGAGCGCCCCCACCTCAGACCCGGAGATATGTCTCACCTTAAGCCAAATGAAAGGCGACGTTTGGAGCGGAATCCGAAGGAGCACAAATCTGGCCCGCAATTCACAAATTGCCGAGAAAACAAAGACAGCCGAGAAGGAATATTTATACATTTTATGCAATATGCCAGACCGCGTTTTATTAAGCAAATTACGATGAACGGCCGCCGAGGAGCGGGAGCTGGGCAGACCCTTGGCAAGTCCTACTTATGACCTTGGCAAACAGCCTAACGCCTCCGTCCTGAGCCATTTGGCAAACATATTCGAGGCTGCGGCACTCCACTCGCATTTGCCGCTCTTAACGCACATTTTCATATATAAATTATTAATTTGGCATGCCTACTCTTTGGGCTCTTTGGATCTGGGCTGGGGTGGCCCAGATCCAGGTCCCTCGGGCAACCCCCGAACAGCAGAACGGCAGAACGGCAAATGGGCCAGCGGAGGCAACCGCACGCCTAAGGATCAGTGGCGGGAAGGCAGGAGCAGGACGATGGGATGGCGGGTAAAATGCATTTTGTGCTCCATTAAATAATAAAAGCAAACGTGGCAGAGATAGCGTCTGACTCGGAGTTCCTTCCCTGTGTGTACACAATAAAAATCTCACACGAAGCGCATAAAAATAAAGGAGGAAATACCCCGAAAGTGGGGCTTGGGGCTCAGGAATCGTGGCTCGGGGCTCGGGACTCCTTCTCTCCACACGTCTTATCTAATGGCAGAGTCAAAGCCCCCATTGTGATTTTTAAGTTGGCAACCTTTATGGGGAGTACAGAGTGTTGTCTGGAAGTGTGGCGAGCAGAAAGTGCATAAATAAGTAAACAAATGCCTGTCGCTTAAGATTACATGGCAAATAAGCCGGCGGAGACGGGAGCTCCCGGCCAGGACAGCATTTGGATACGAAGGAACAGAAACCTCGCCGCTTAGTTACTTATTCATAGCCAGACCTGGGCGAAAAGTGTGTGTCTTGAGGGGGCATAAAAATCAGCATAAACAGCAATTGTTATGAGCTGCGAATGAAGCCTTGCCCCAGTGTCCTGTGTCCTGTGTCCTGTGGGCTCCTGGAATTAGGACAATTTAGGGCCTCCAATCACGCAAATCAATGTGGCCAAAGGATGCACAATATTTGCCGCCACAGTTGCGGTGTGGCAAGTATTGCATTCCCGAAATCACTGTGACAGCTGTCCTGGCTGTGCAATAAGCCCGGTATCATGCTTTTCCATTTTAATTTAGTTATTCCTGAAGCCAACGAGGGTTGGGACTCCGAGGGAACTGCTTGACACGCACGTGTCCTTGCCAATGACAAGGGAAATTTTACAACTTTCAAGTTTAATTTGTCAAAAGTAGCAATCAGCCGAGTGCCAGGACTCCGAAGCGGCTGAAGAGCTCTTTCGACTGAGCCGGGGGGTGGCTGGCTTCCTTCGGCCCTCCGAAGGGGTGGCTGGGCTCTCGGGCCAACCCTTCCGAGCTAATTGCTTGGAAGCTGTTAAATGAAAAAATTGAAACGTATAAAATGTGTATATTTTATATTAAACTGGCGATGAGCAGGATCTCTCCGAATGTCACTCCGTGCGCCCCAGTCCCCCGGCAGTTCCCAGCCATTCATTTATTCAGCCAGAACGTACACTGTTTTATGAGGTGTTAAGTGAGCTTAAATTAAAAGTGGGCGTGGGCGTGGGCAGGGGCGTGGGAGGAATGTGACGAAATGTTTGCATATTTATTCAAGTTATGGCAAAGGCGAGAATCAACCTTCTAGAGAGCACTTGTGAACTGGCATCGGAGGAGCCGGCGAGGGGTGGCCCTTGTTTAAAGAGGGTGGCGCGGGCAGACTTGACTTTTGTTTGTTTTCCGTTTGACATGAAGGGCCACATGTGCGTGTTGTAAATTTATATTTAATAAACTTTCGGCTCTCCAGGCTCGAGTGGGTATCAGAGGGAAAAGCGCCAGAGATTTCGAGTAACAGCTCAAAGGACAAAGGACAAGGACGAGCTCAGCCCGGAAGGTGAGAACGAGGCGGTATTAGAGAGATGAGTGATAGGACTTACAAAAAACAATGATATCTGGCAGTGGAGTAACAATTCTGGAACTCTTAAGCCTCTACTCTCATTGATGTGTCTGTGCTTTCTCTTATTTTCTTAATGATTTTTTAAAAGGCCCAGTCGAGCACAAACTAGCTCTTAATAATCATGTCCTAGGACGGCTGGCTTCAAAGTAACAACAGCGAATCGCTTATTAAAATAATAACAAGGAAAGCTTCAATCACGGGATGCAGTCAACCCTCTGGTCGAACTAACCCTGTTCCTCTCCAGAGTATGACCCGAGGGCGGCAGTAATTACAGAAAAATAAATCAACCCTATTTGGAGATTGTTTGCCTAGGACGAGAGCACTTCAAAAATGGATGATTGATAGAGGGGAGTTCTGATTCTCCATATATGTGCGAGTTTCAACTGAAAGTGTCAAGTTTCCATTCAGTTGTTCGGTTGATTTGCATAATATTCCAGCTGAAAAACTGGCTAGTTCCTTTCTCTGAAATCCTCAAGCGTTTTAAAGTCCTATTAAAGGAAAATGTAATAGTTGGCAACCATTCATATCTCTTCCTTGTTCTCGAAGGCCGTAGAAGTATCCTCTTGACAGAACACACGAAGGAAACCCATAGTGACCCAAGCCGGCCCGTGGGACTAGGCAGGACAGCCCGGGAACAGGACCAAATGAAATCTAAATTAATATAATTTTCGGGTCGGAACG